TCTTGGGCTATTTTAAAACCTCTTGGACGTCTCCTAGGGGCCTTTTGGGCCCTCGGGAAGCTTTTGGGGTCCTCGTCGGACCACTTGGGGGCCTCTTGCGGCCTCCTGTGGGCCTTTTGGGGGGAACGCTCAGCTGTTGGGTCGCGTTCCCCTTCTTGGGCCTCTCTTGGGGCTCTTGGGGCCCTCTCGGGCCGTCTTGGGCGCCTCAAGCACCGTCTTGGGGCCCTCGCGGGCCGTCTTGGAGCCCTCTTGGAGGCCTCTTCCTCTATATTGGAGCGGTATTGGAAGCCTCTTGGGCCGTCTTGGAGCATCGGGATGCCAAAAGGCCCAAAAAAAAAAAAAACAAAAAACAAAAAAAAAAAAAAAAAAAAAAAAAAAAAAAAAAAAAAAAAAAAAAAAAAAAAAAAAAAAAAAAAAAAAAAACGTCGAAGCCCAATCGTAAAACAATGAGTTGTGCCTCTTGGGGCCACCTTGGGAGATCTCTTGAAACCTCGTCGGCCCTCTTGGGAGCTTCTTGGGGGCCTCTTGGATCCGATTGGGGGCCTCTTGGGACTTCCCGAGAACCTCTCGGGGTAGAAAGCTCGGATTCTCAGTTCGTGTTTCCCTTCTTGGGCCTCTCTTGGGGCCGTCTTGGGGCCCTCTCGAGCCTTCTTGGGCGCCTTAGGCACCGCCTTGGGGCCCTCGTGGGCCGCCCAGGGCCCTCTTGGAAGCCTCTTCCGCTATCTTGGAGCTGTCTTGGAGGCCTCTTCCTCCTCCTCGTCCCCCTCCTCCTCCTCCCACTCCAACTCTCTCTCCTCCTGATCTTCCTCCTCCTCCTGCAGCGTGTTCCGGAAGGCTCCCGCCGGAACATGCTGTGCACAAATGCTGTCACTGCTCCCGCCACCGTGCCCTGGGTGGTGCGTCAGAGGCCTCATGGGTGTTGGTTTGGATCTCGTGATTGGCCTGTCGGGGACGTCGTGAAGGCACTTTCGCAGCTTCTCGGTAGCCGTTTTGGGACCGTTGTGGGGCCTCCTCGGGGCTGTTTTGTGGCCTCTTAGGCTTCGTTTGGGCCTCCTGGGTGCCTCTTGGGGACTCCTTGGGGCCTCCTGGGGAGAGATCAGCTGATGATCGAGGCGATCGAAGATCCCTTCGCGGGGGCCCAGAACTCGTGGGGGGGGCCGACATATCAAACAGCCAGTTTTGGTACTCGAAGGGCTCCCAGCTTGGACAGTCTCGCCCCACCCATGAGCCCAGGCGACCACGGCGCCTTATTTTCCGAAGCCCATTGCTTCCAAGATTGAGCAGACCCCAAAGACTCCGAAATCTTGCCCCGGCCAAAAACGAGGCTACCCCGACCGCGAAGTTCGGGGCTTGCGCCTGGCCAGGGCGCCCACGGCCAGACTGACGGGAAATCCTGCTGGAGGCCCAAGTCCTCGCTCGAGCTGAACTCAGCAGGCGGCCCCACAAGCGCCTGCAGCACACGGAAACGTCGGCGCCCTTCCTGGCCGCGGAGCCGCGAACTTCCACCGCCCCGCTCAAAGGGGCCGCCTGACTGAACGCCACCGCGACTTACAGAGCGATCGGCGCTGGCTCTCTTCAGGAGCGAAAGAAGGACGTACACGTAGATGAATCCACGCTGGTTTCGAGAGTACGCATTGTGCAAATGTTCGTATAACGCGGCCGGTCTCGCGGGTCGAGGGGCCGTGTTCATGTACATAGCTGGGCGCGTACGTCCTTTGTGGCCTCCAGATCTCTACTGCCATTGCCGACGACCACGCCAGTTTTGGAGGGGTGCGCCGTTGGCATGAGGTCCTCACTGGCGCGCGCGCGCGTGCGCGCGCGGCTCTGCCTCTTTTGGAACCAATTACTGCTGTCCAGATGCGGCGAGCCCCAGGGCGCCAAAGGCGGCGTTGGCCTTTAGCCAAGCCAAGGGGGGGTCTCCAGAGCGGGGCCGAAGCGCCGTTGGGCGGGCCGCCCCTGGGCCACGAGGATGAGGACATCGCCGCCGAATGCAAGTCCTCGGCCCCCAACGATGGATGAGTTGCACCATGAGCGGCGTTGCCCGCATTCCGCAGGCGAAATGTTCGACCTCGACCCCAAGGAGCGACGTCGGCACAGCGACCCAAGCGCGGCGCCACTGGCACGAGCACCAAGGGCACAACACCAGAAGCGCAGCACCCGCGAGCCAGCGCAGACGCATTACAAGATGCGCTGCCCGTGGGGACTACTTACACAAGTCGGAGCTATATGCGTATTCCTGCGCTGGGGAATCCTAAAGATGCCCTGCCAGGCCGTGTCGCAAGAAAAAATGTTGCAATGCCTCCCCCCCCCAATCGGAGCCCCAAATACCGTCTCCTGCGGCCATGTTCAGACTCTACTAGAGCAACTGCGGTAGCCTTCCGGATTCTCGTTAGATTTCTGCGGGCCCTTCTTCTTCGAACCCATTTTGGGCCCTCTCAAGGGCCACGCGGAGGCCCAGGGCGCCATCGAAAGCGAAAAAGGGAGAAAATGCACAGCATTGTCGCATCTCGCGTTGTTGCATGCTTTGGGGATGTCGGGGGGCTTCTTTCGAAGACCCGCGGTCACCACGGGGCGTCTAAACGCCACATTTAGCTTTCTTCGCAAGCATACCTGGAGGCCATATTGGAGCACCTAGGGCCGCGCTGCACAACAGAGAAGGCCATGTCGGGGTGCATGGTGCCACCCTGGGACCGCCCAGGGTTATCTTGGACATTCTGACAGCTCGCGCCCCACCCCCCGTCCAAACCCACGAGAATGGGCAGTCGGAGGAGGAAATCCTCACCGAAAAACGAGCTCGAGGGTCGCAACCCACAGGCACTACCCTTTCGCGCCGAGGGGGCTGGTGGGATTGAAATCCGATGGTGTTCGAACGCCATTTAGACCAAAGGTCTGCGACATTGAATGAATTGTGCGAACTGGCGCAACCAGCCTTGCTGTCAGCATGTGCTGTCTTGGAAGTGTGCGAATCGGCAAGTTCTATAGAACGCCTCCCGTCCTTTATGCGTTGAACACGGTTTTGGGTTAGACCATGTCTCCAAAGAGGTCGCGGACCCCCGAGGCCGATCCTGAGAATAGCAAGACTAGCCCCCAACGAAAACTCCAAACGCACAGGAGGATATGGTGAGAAGGGACGTTGATGTAGCACCTTTCCTAGCCAGAATGGATTGCTTGAGACATGCACATGCTTCAACACAACGAACAAACACGATGGTTATGACCTTGCTTCGAGACGTAGCGTAGAGTGCTGGGTAAACTACCTCCAAAACCATTTCATCACAAACGCCTGACGACTGCCAAGAATAGATGCACGTTGAAGTCAGGCCCCATGAACACTGGCGTCCTGCAATTCTGTCGCACCACCCTGCGGCGGCAAGGAAATACAAAGTGTCGCTGACGAGGCCGAGTGAGTCCTCAAAGCGCGTTGAGGGCGGCGTCAGTGGCGCTGGCTGGACGCCGATGTTGTAGACGTCTCGCGCCAGGGAGCCAGCGCCGCTCACGGGGTACCCTGCGTCACTGACCTCACGATCCGGGAAGAATGTTGTTCCGTGTACGCTTCTCACCCCAATGCCTGCATCGAGTTGTCAACATAATGCTGCACACATCCTGGCAGAGATCACGCACACGCTTGCTGCTCTTCTGACTGTACGAGCTGGTGGACTGACTTCCACGGGCTGCCGTTGATTGCGATGGCAGCCGGCGTCCTCATCGCGTTACACATCCATGCGGCTCTCTCCTACCCATCTACGGGCACGTCGGCACCTTTGCCTTTGGGCTTGGCTGAGACGGGGAGACCACATCGGAACGCTCACGTTGGCAGCCGCCCGGGCTCCCTTCAGGGCGGAGCGTGTGAGGTGGCCTCACAGGAAAAGCCAGGAGCATCGATGGCTTGACCGAGATGGGTCTTTAGAACCCCCCCACACACACACACACAAAAGACAGTGGAAACTAATTGATATTTTGACACCCTTGTTGACGGACTGGGGGGAGGAGGAGGAGGAGGAGGAGGAGGAGGAGGAGGAGGAGGAGGAGGAGAAGAAGGAGGGTCGAGTTTGGTCCCCGCCGAAAGAAACAAGGGTAACCAAAAACTAAACACCGATGCTGGTGTCGATTGGGGTGCCGAAAGACGAACACGAAACGAGGTATGAGACATGCTTCCAACTCTCCCCACTCATCCGTTGTAGCCGATCGTAGCCACGTGGTATCATTCAGATAGTTGTGAGGAGGAGGAGGGCCAGGGGAGAGCGCCAGGGGGCAAGGGATTGGGGGAGACAAGGGCGCGGAGGGCAAGCTGGGGAAAAGCACTCCTGAAAATGTCGCGCGGTGCGCCGGACATCCACAGCAGAACAAGGCGGGCCAGCTGGCCCACCTCGAGCCCAGGGGGGCCCGCATCCACCCACCCGCGGGATCGCGGCGGCGAGGAAGAGGACGACGACGAAGACGACGACGACGACGACGACGACGACGACGACGACGACGACGACGACGACGACGACGACGACGACGACGACGACGACGACGACGACGACGACGACGACGACGACGACGACGGCGGCGGCGGCGGCGGCGGCGGCGGCGGCGGCGGCGGCGGCGGCGGCGGCGGCGGCGGCGGCGGCGGCGGCGGCGGCGGCGGCGGCGGCGCGGGGGTGGGGCGAGGCAGGGCCGCTCTCGGAGAGGCGGCCACCGTCCGGGCGGCGCCCTGCTTCGCAGGAAGCGCGGCGAATCCCGTGGCGGGGCGGCGGCCGCGGCCGGCTCGGCGCTCGGCTGGTTCATTGTCAGCGGCTGGGCCCAGCGCCGATCCAGGAGAGTGACCAGCCACGAACGGATCACCGCCTGGAGTCGGCAAGCCCAGAGGCGATGGCAATCTCAGCGGTGCGCCCTCAGAAACTGAGGGGATCCTCGAAATCGGCATCCAGCTCAGGTGATGCGAATCATAAGAACAGGGATACGTTCCAGGCTGGTAAGAGATCCGCGCGGAGCTCCGAAAGTGAATGTTTTGGGCGCCCGACAGGGGTACGGCAAGCATGGGCTGGACGCCCAACAACAAATGATATCCTAAACTGAAAGCGGCCGCTGTTGGGCAGCCGGCCGACTATCTCAAACGGACAAAATCCGCGGTGACACCGACAGCGTGTCCAGTACTCGCGCTTTCCGTACCCATTTCGATCGTGTCGAATGTTTTGATGCGGCCGGGGGGGTCTGAACTGGCTGGAACCCCAAATCGGTCAGGAGGGGAGTGAGGCCAAATCCTCACAGAATCGACCCCAGACCCCTCCCAAGGGTCCATCTGGCGTAGTCATTCACCCTGGATCCGTTTGCCACGGTCCCAGGGCCCAAAAGTGGCCCCCGGAGGCAGGAAAATCCGAAAAACCTTGCCAGACCCACCACCTCGATCCTGCCCCCCTTTCCTGCCGGCGAGAACCGGTGCTGGGCCATCTCAGACCCCCAGCTGGCTCCGAGTTTACGTACGTCGCTTTGTTGCTGTCGGCTACCCGCAAGCGTGGCCATAGGCAAGAGTGACCTTTGATGCGCGGCTTTTGGGGGGGCGCGAGGGACCCAAACCTAGGCGCGCAGGACGCTCATACCGCATCGCGCTCAGCGATCGGGGGGGCCCCAATGAGACCGCGCCAGAGGTCACTCCGACGAAGGGTCACTCTTACGCGAAGTCGACGCTGTTCGAGCAACGGGCCGCCACCGCTCAGACCTGCGCCGGCGCCGGCGGCCCCTCCAGCAGCGCCTCGCGCTCCGCCCGCGCGGCGGCGGCTGCCGGCTGCGCAGGGTAGCCGCCGCGCCCGCCGGCGCCGCCGCCGCCCCAGCCGGTGCGCCCGCGGGAGAGGCGGGCGATCGCCGAGGTCCGCACGATGGCTCGGCGGTTCAAGGACCCATGAGTATCGTTTATCCGATCCCAGCGCGGCCTGGGCCCCACTGGCCGAGTTACCCCCCTGGATGGGGACATGGGCCCTTCCCTTCGGGTTTCGAGGGGTGTATCCCCAACTGGGGTGGTGAGTTGGTGGGGGTCTCGAAGGGGATGGGCATGGGGACCGTTCAAACGATACCGAACCCAAACATGCCCGCGTCCTGGCAAAATCCTGGCGGGTGGTCTTTGGCCGTCTTCGGCCTCCCCAGGGGCCCTGGCCGAGCCACGGGGCCGTCCAAAAAAAACGACCCGGGAAGCAGAGATGGCCCCTGGGGAAAGGGTCGGGCCATCCAGGGTCCTCGTGTTGAAAAAATCAAGACATCACATGTCTGGGGATGCGGCCCCGAGGGACCTCGAGATCTGGGCGTCGCGATTTCAAACGCTGGGCGTTTGCGCTCCATGCTGGGGCCCCAGGACCAGCACAGGTCGATCTGGCTCGAAAAATGCCGCAGGAAGATGGGGAAGATGGGGTCTAGGGCTACAGACGTATTTTTCGCGATGCTGCCATTTTTCGACAACGTCGGCTCTTGGGATCAGGACGGGGTCCTGAGCCCTCGGCTGAATTCACACTGTCTGAGGCCGCTCGTCCTCAGGGCCCCACCCCTCAGCGCCCGAGCACGACGAAGACTTCTTGCATGCTTCACTCGAACTCCAACAGTGATGCTTCAGAATCAACACGGTCGAGCCCGATTCTGGGCCGAGCGTTGACTCGAACGGACCGCCTGCTTGTCTGCCTGCCAGAAGGGCGGCGACTCCGACTGGTGTGGTTTGCAAAGGGTGTAGTCTGCAACGCGCACGCTGGGGGGCGGGCGAGGACATCGACTGAGTTCTCCACCGCGCCCAAAGGAGGCCCGACACAACGTGGTGCCCACCAAGCCCTAACGACGCAGATCGCAAACCATCCCCCAGCGTGAGCGACGTACCCCCAGGTGGCGCAGCGGCCACGGCTCCGGCCACGCTGAGCGCCAAGGCGCAGCCGCGTGGCTCTCCGAGCTGGTCCCCGAGGCCCTCAGGCCCCCTCTCCAGGACACGCCTGCTTCGGGGCACGCTGACCCTCCCCTGGCTCTGTAGTCGCCGCTCAAGGCCCCGTCTTTGGACCGCCGCATGGCGCACAGGGCCACGCAGGCCACGGCGGCAACCAGCAGCGGCGCGGCGGCGAGCGGGGCGGCTCCGGCCCGCCCGCCTTCCGGGGGGCGGCGCGCCGGGCCGCCGCTCCGCGCGAAGAGGCGGCCAGGCTGGAAGGAGTCTGGGCACCCGACCTCGTAATGCGCGCAGCACCACTGCGCCTTGAAGCGGCACTCGGCGGCGCGCCCGGGGAGGAAGCGAGAGGTGGGACGCACCGAGAGCTGCTAGTACTACAGATGTTCTCCTGGGAGGCGCCCGTCCGACCCGATCATATAGTAGATCCATATTGTAGTACATCGTTTCCCGAGCGGTGTGGCCAGAAAGCGCCCGCCAGATTTCTCGGTGCGCGCATCGCCCCTGGGGGAGCGACACAAAAACATATATATATATATATATATATATATATATAAATAAACATAGTATTAGTAGGCTGGGGTGACGCCGAAGAGGGGGCAGGCCTTCTCCCAAGGAGGCGGGGCGTCTGAAAGCCCTGCAGCCGACTGAGAGAAGCCGTCCACGTCTTCGGGGAGGGCTCAGAAAACTTCCCGTAAGGCTGAAGGCCTTCCGAGCCTTCTGAGAAGGCCCGCCCCCTGATTTCCCCTCTGGGCTCGCCGCCGAAGCACAGGACATGGAGTTTTTGGACCGCGCGGACTTGTCGGATCGGCGCTGGTGGAAGGACAGAAAGTGATGACCGTGCGGAAGCGTCGAATTCGATCTTGTTTGTCATACATTTTGGTCACCGTCGATACGTGAATCATCCTCGCAAATTGGCAACGGCGGGCATAGACCATGACCAAGACCAGCGTCGACAAGCTCTCGCGATATCTTGGTCATGGTCACCGTGATTCTTCCCTTGGACCGGGCCCTCACCACATGGCGCGCGGAGCGCGACAGGGGCGACGCCGGAGGCGCTGCCAAAGGGGTCTAGCGCCGATCCAAGAAACACGCGCGGACCCCCGAAAGTCTGTGTTCATATGCCGGTCGCTCTTCTCAAGACCTTCTGGAAAGGCCACGAGTGCTCCCACGTCAGGACGCCCTGCGCGCAGTCGAAGGGCTCCTCATCGCTGGGCGCACGGGCTACTGTGCACCACACCACCACCACCGGCCCTGGGCCCTGGGCCCCAGGCTAGTACATGAAAAACCTTCCAGGACTAGGTCACACACCAGCCAGGGGCCCAAGATGGGCCTAGCCTGGGCTGGTAGCATTGCACACCCCAACACAGTGACCCTTGGAACCCAATCTGGACCCCCCCCCCATTATCCGTAGAACCCAGTATACGTGCATAGATGTGTACACATATGATGTATATATATATATATATGTATAACTATTGTTTCATATACACACAGAGAGACACGGACAAACACACACACACACACACACACACACACACACGCACACACACACACACACACACACACACACACACACACGCACACACACGCACACACACACACACCACACACACACAAACGCACACACCACACACGCACACACACACACACACGCCAACGTGCCGCTGGGCACGGAGTGCACGTGTCCTCAAACCATTTGCCCAATCCCCTGAGCCTCAGTCTTCAGCCCTGATGGGTTGACGGGGCACGGACCCCAAGTTCCGAGATCTACTGGGGACTGTCGCCTGACCTCTGGGCTCCCCCGCGGCTTCCCGCATGATTTTTTCCCGGGCCCAAGGGAGCCCGAAGACGGGCCGAGAGGGCCCCAAAAAGGCCCCGAAGACGGTCCAAGAGGGCCCCGATGCGCCCAGAGATCGGCCCAAGATGCGCAAGATGGCCCCAAGACGGCCCAGGAGGCCTCCAAGACGTCCCAAAAGGCATCCAAGAGGACTCCCAAGAGGCCTCCCAAAACGACCCAAAGAGACCTAAATCATTGAGTTCCTTCGGGGTTTTGAATGTTTTTGGCTTTCTCGCCTTTTCGGCTTCCCGACGCTCCCAGACGACCCTAGAGGCCGCCTAGATCGACCCAAGACGGCCCAAGAGGCCTCCAAGAGGGCCCCAAAACAGCCAAAGAGGGCCCCAAGACGGCCCAAGAGACCCCAAAGACGGCGTCAAGAAGGGGCCCACATGGGTGACCCAAACGGACAGACCCAAACGGACATTTCGAGCCCTCGGCCCCGAGGGGCCCCCATGAAGCCGAGGCTCCCAAGAGGACATCCGAAAGCGCTCCAAAGAGACCCCAAGAAGCATTCCTGTGAACTCCAACCAGCAGCCCAGACACGGTGGCAGGATAGGCAACAGGGACATGTACACACACACACACATCTACATAGGTATATGCATATACATGTACATGTGCACGTGCATATACATGTACATATCCATAAACATATATATATATATATATACACCTACATATACACACATCTACATATACATGTACAAATACACATACACGTACAGGTACACATACATATACAGATACAAATACACATACATATGTATATATATACATTTACATATACATATACATATACATATACACATACACATACATAAACATAAACATATACATATACATATACATGCACTTATACAAATACATATACATAGACATGATCACAAACATATACGTATACGTGTACACATGCATATGCATATGCATGTACATATACGTAAACACGCTCCCCTACAGAGGTCTACACATATACATATACATGTGCCCATCCGCATACCAGTAAACATACCTATATCTATACACCTATACACGTATGTGAACATATGGACATCGACACATACACATACACATACTTACGCATAGACACATGTATGTATATACACGTATGTAAACGTAATCATATACATATACAGATACAGGTACAGACCCATAAATATATTTATATCTACATGCAGACTCATATACCTATACCTAAACATGCACACATATACCCACATATACATTCACATCTGCTTATGTCTAGACACATACATATACATATACCCATACCTATACGTATACGTGCACATATTTATGTACATCCGTACATACATATACATATGCACATACACATTATAGTCACATGCATAAACACATACATACGCAAATATACATGCAAATTCATAAAAAAAATGTACAAATATACATACGTATACCGATACAGAGACAAATACATATATATATATATGTGCACACAGCTACGTCTACACATTATTATACATCATATGCATGACTAGATACATAGACATATACATAGACATAAAAAGTATACATATACATGTACGTGTACATATACAGTCACATAAACATCCACATATAGATGTGCATATACATCTATACAAATATATAGACATGTACATGTACGCGTGCGAATATATATATATATATATATATATATATATATATATATATATGTACGTGTATCTATACATGTTCATAGACATACACCTATACATAGACAGATACGTACATATATATATATATGTACACATACAAGGCTGCAGTGGCGCTTCGCGCCATGCACCTTGGTCCTTGAAGTTTGGTATGCAGGCGGAATGGCAGGAAGGGCAAGCCGACAATTTAGCGATAACTCCTGGTTGCCTTTTTCCGGCATCGCCGCTATAATGATGTTATTCGTTATCCTTCCTCCATGGTTATTGTTCCTTATTTTCGCCATACCCTGCGCATTCTCCCCATCCAACTCAGCTCTTTTTTGCGGAGGCTCCTCCTTGGAGAGCTTCTAGGGGCCTCACAAAAATTGTTTCGGGCTTTCTTAAGGCCTTCTGGAGGCCTGCTGGGCGTATTCTGGGGGCCTCCGGGGTTTTCCTCGGGCCACCCTGCCTCCAACCGCCGTCTCCCTGAACGACCGAATCACGATTTGGAATTCTTCGGAGGGTGTCTTTGGGCCATCTTGGGCCGCCATGGGGCTCTCTGAGGGCCATCTTGGACCCGTGTTGTGCCGTTTTGGGGCTTTCGTGGACTGCCTGGAAGCCCTTTCGGATGGTTGTGGAGCGATTTGGGAACCTCCCAGGCGGCTTCGGACGCCCAGAAGACCGCCGTCTTGGAGCGTCGGGAAGCCGAAAAGAGGAGAACCCCACAATTCACCAAAAACCCACAGAAAATCAATGATTTTTGCCTCGGGGAGCCTTCGTGGGAGTGCTCTTGGAGGCCTCTTTGGGGCCGTCCTGGAGGCCTCTTGGGCCATCTTGAGGTCACGTCGGTCACTCTTGGAGCGCTCTTGTGCTGTCTTGGGGGTCTCTGGGACGTCTCCAATGACCCCCCTGATCGCCCTAATTGTGCTGGGAAGGCTTGGCAAAACGCCTTGCGAGGCCCGGTGGCCGCTTCAAAGCCCGTCCGGAGGGCCCCAAAGCCCCAGGTCCCGGGAGTCCGGTTTTGGGGGGAGGGGGGACGGGTTTTCCCCCCGCCCGGGCTTATATAAATATAGGAAGAGGGGTGTATATATATATATATATATATACACACACACATGGAAATACGCATATGCATATACAGATGCGCATGCCTATACTCCACTGGTACATATACAAATAAATGTACCTCGACAATCGCCTCTACCAATTAATATGCATAGACATGCACATATGCATTAACATATACATATACATATGCATTCATACTTATACATAGACATAGACATAGACATACACATGCACATATATATATATATATATATATATATATATATATACACGTATACACATACAAAACCATGGATATGTGCATATGCCTGTGCATATGTCTGTACATCTACATTTATGTATACAAATACGTGTATACTCATACAGTGCGTACATGCTTACAAATATACATACGTAAACATTGTATATACATACTGATATACAAAAACATGTGCATGCAAATATGCATACACACACACAAACATAAGCATTTACATATACATATACATATACATTTACATACGTATATAAACATACACATACGTGTTTGTGTGTGTTCTAGAAAAGAGAGCCACCGAGCGCTACGGTTAGCAACCCTATGAATTCATTCCCTGGGGGAGCAGCGAATTATTCGCAGGAATCTTCCGGCATCTTTCTGGGATGCGCGGGAATCCTCAAGAATTTGTATGGATTTATTCTACAATTCACCAAAAACGCCAGACATCTGCCGGAATCAAATAGGGACCCACGGGAATCCAAAGGAATCCTGGAAGATTCTTGACGAAACCTTCAGAATCCTCACGAATTTTCCACGAGTCGGCAAGAAACCTGCCGGAAACCGCGGGTGCCCTTCGGGCGCACAGGAGTCCTCCAGACTCTTCACGAATCTTGAGGGATCGTGACGACCATGTCTCGGGTCATCCAAGAATCCTTTCGGATCCTTCGGGAATCCTGCACAATCCTGAAGAATTCTGCAAGCATCGCGTGGACTCGGCAAGAATCCGGCAAAAATCAATAAAAATCCATCGAAGATCATTTTGAAATCCTCCGGGATACTCAAAATCCTCTTGAATCCACAGGAACCCCAGGAATCCTGCAGGCATCCTGGAAGAAGCCAATTGGAACTCGATTCGGGTTTTGTTGGGATGCAACGATAATTTTGGTGGGATCCCGCACAGAGGGCTGCGGAATATCACTTCCAAGAGCGGAAATGAAATAGTTTCGCCGAGAACGGGGATCGACAACGCGTTCCACGGGCTAAACCCCCAACTATGTAAACACTGTGGGGTTCCATGACTCTAGGACAACATCTTGTGCGCACGTTGGACCAGTTCTGGAACCGCCTTCCCCCCCTCAAACATTACCCTTTTCCTGTCTGGACCCATCCCCATTTCTGGCCAAGCACTCGAAGTCCCACACCTCTAAAGACCAGGGGGGGTCTGACCCCCCGTCCGAAAATCGGAAGCGTTCGACTCCCCCTCGCCGCCGGCACACGACAACGACGACGTCATTTGCCATCGGCAATCTGGACACGTGGCCGTCATGGGCAAGTCGGTTGGGCGGGCGGGACATGTCATCGTCGTCGTCGTCGCCATCGTCTGACA